TCTTGCATTTTGGAAACTGCATTTCTTTACCGTTGTTATATGACTTACATTGTCTAACATGGTCTTAGAATTTTTAGAATCAAAACATCAAGTTGATTTCTGATCTTAATTGTTCCAGGTGAAGTAACCTCTGTCTATGTGAGAAACTTGCCTGCTAACGTTACTGAAGCAGAGATTGACCAGGAATTTAAGAATTTTGGCAGAATTAAGACAGATGGAATATTCATTAGGGTCCGAAAGGTAGCTCCTCACTCATGGATTAAATTGAATGCTCTCCTTTCGTGAGTAATAGAAAAAAGGCAAAGTAAAAGTTGATGTTTACAGGAAATTGGAGTGTGCTATGCATTTGTGGAATTTGAAGATATCATTGGTGTTCAAAATGCGCTTCAGGTTTGTTTGTTATTTTATGTTGTGTTTTCTTATTAGACCTAATTTTCATTTGATAATCTAATATTAAAGTAAACCTTGATAAGCAGAAAAATACGTAGAACATTTCGACATTTTTGTTGTTGTTGATTTACTGGACTGTATCTGTTTCAGAAATTATACAACATCAATTTTTCTATTGCTTAAATCTAACACATCTCTGTTTCCTTATTTTTGATTTATTGTCATTATCAATTGTTTTCACATGGCTATGTAATGAAATTGACTTGTTTTGACTTATACTTTTATGTTTCCTGGTTCAATTCCATGGTTTATTATTAGTCTTTAAGAAAAGCATGAGAGTAGTTTCTCTAGTTGAATATGTAGTGAAAAGTGAAATCAGGTATCTACATCTTATGAATTTGAAGTATTTTTGTCAATAAAACAAAGATGTCTTGCGCTCATCGTCCCTAGTAGTGCTCAAGTTATGTCACTCTAATTTAAAGTACTCCTCCCCCTTCAAAGACGTAATATGTTACATCTATTCATTTTAATGTAAATGACCCTCTTAGTTGTGGCAACACTAGTAAGCCAGTCTTCCAAGGTCACTTGTTAAACTTGAACTTTCTCTCTCACTTGCGTTTGATTTAAAAATTTAGATGAATTTGAAGTTTTAAACAGACATCTGATTTTGGCTTTGGATTTCATTTCATCTTCTATTGTTTCAGAGTTGGAGTTTGAAACTAGTTGTTGATTATTATTGAAGAAATATCATTCCGTAAAGGGGTGTAATTTTTAAATTTAGGGCAGAGGAAGTGTAGTGTAGTTTTCCCAAAACATAAATATGTAATCCTGCTCAACTCAACTGTCTTGTTATGCAGGTTGCTTATATTTTTATTCATATTGTATTTTTAATGCGATAACATGGTTCTTATCTTTGTCCATTCTATACTTCATTGTAGGCTTCTCCAATTCAGTTAGCTGGAAGACAGGTATACATAGAAGAGCGGAGGCCAAACAGTGGCAGTGCAGTTCGAGGAGGAAGTAATGTTTTACCTTTTCATTTATCTCTTATACTTTCAAATGTTTTTAGCTTCTCAAGTAGTGTGGGTTAAATCCTTCGAAGGTGTTTATTGCTTACTGCAATTGTTAGTGTCGGAGGGCACCTAATAAATACATGCTCAATAGCATTTGTGATCTGAGTGATAGCCTTATGGCTGAACATGCTAATGAACCTGTTGAGCACAAATTGGCATTTATTACTAAAATATGCATGTATGATTGAAGGAATAAGGAAAAAGAAATAAGTGTCTTCATAAGCTAACATTATCTCACGCACAAGTTAATTTATAGAAGTTGTTTATTAGCTTGTACAAAATCTGTTTTTAATGCATAAGCTAATTTTAGCTTATGGAGAAACTAATTCTCTTTTCCTTTCTATTTTTGTCTTGTAATAGTGTTTCTAAAGAAGTTTCTAATATACTATCAATATTTATAAATAAATTGACTTGGAAGAGGTATAATATGTCTGTAAAATTGATACTCTTCCGTTGTCAGTTCGGAGGTGATTTCTGTTAAAATTAGAAAATGATTTGGTTATATTGAAATCCATTTCATTTTTATTTGGTTGATCAGGAAGGGGAAGAGGCAGAGGCAGTTATCAAGCAGATGCTCCGAGAGGGCGTTTTGGTGCAAGGAACATGGGAAGGGGAAGTAATCTGGATAATTCAGACTACTCCAGACCAAGAGGCGATGGTTATCTTCAGCGTAGTTCACGATGAGAAAGAAAATGGCAAAAGCATGGACTGAGAATATGCTGTTGAAAGGGCTTATACAATTAGTGAATCTGTGCTTGGTGTGGGTATTTACTGCAGAAAATTTTCTTATGTGGTTTCACATTTAGTAGTCTTACGTTTTGGGTGCGTCTTTTTCTAGTAAAAGCCATTGAGACTTTAAACAGTTTGTTTCACAAGCATAGATCAGTTGGTTCCCCTTGAATGTTCTTTAACATGCCATTCGCGTGGGAAGTTTTGGTTGTTGTTTGTATTGTTCCATGTTTGGATTGTGGCGGCCTTTTTATCGGGAGGGGTGTTCAAGTTAAGAAAGTGGTTTAGTTTAGACATCAGTAGAGGTTGTGCTTAATTGTCAGATGTTGCGGTGCATTTATGGGTGCATCGGCTCGCTGCCTTTCCTTTGGTAAAACTTGTTGTAGTAAGTACCATGCAAATCTTTTAATTCTTCTCTATTAGTTTCGGGACATTGTTGGGACGTAGATAATTAAATCTTTTCAATTAATGATTTGACTTCTAATCTTTTCATTTAACGATTAGACTTTATTTTAAAACAACTCCAACGATGAGAAGGCTTCTCTACATTTATGTACATTTATCTATTATTTTGGAAAATTTAATTCAAAACCATTGTTATATGTAGCTACATACTTGGTCTTCACATCGCTCGTGAGCGTGGTTTTATAATTTTTATCTGTCCCGTATGGCTAATGTTTGGATGTGTTAGAATTATTTTGTATTAGCTTAACTGTATTTTAAAAGCTGCACAGACCTTTCAAAGTTAGGATTAATTAAGATTTAAGTTTTTGTTAAAATTGGGGTTAAAAAATTTCTTCTACAAAGTGCTTAAAAGTTGTATATTTCAATTGAATGTACTTAAAAGTTTTTCTTTTATTTGTTTTTAAAGGTGTTTTAAAATATTATTTTTGTAATTAATGAATAATATATATTGTAACACCTTACTTTATCTAAATTTTTCTGTTAAGTGAGATATTACTTAATTGATATAAAACATAAAGAATTATATAATTATAAAGTATATTTACGGTTTTTCATTTTTCTTGTTACAGAAAGTTTAAACATTTATAAAATATCGTACAGGAGAAATATATAACATTCAGTATAATACATCTATGTATAAAAGTCTCCAACTTTAAGAATGACCAGGTTCCCGTTTTCTCAAGATTTGTTGATTCGTATTGTTACATGTACCTTCATCTGTTCCATATAAAGAATACGATCATCATCACAGGCGAACTATGATCACAAACAAAACAGTACAAAGGGTAAATTAGTGTGTTTATAAAATGTTTTATCATCTCAAACACAAATCAACCCTCATCGCTCAAACTAATATTTCAAAAAACCATGTCATTGACTCATCGTTCAAACTAATATTATACTTACTTTTGTTTCGTAATACTTTGTTCACTTGAATGGATCTAGGAAGAATGATTAAATGGATTTGAAGGTAAATCTTTTATTGTTTATTTAAGTGGATTTGGACGTAAGTGAGAATGAATTTAGAAGTAAATTTTTTTAATATGTCACATCAATCAAATCTTACACTAATTATCACAAACTTTGCTTTCAAATCCATTTTCACTTACCTCCAAATCCACTCAAATAAACAAAAAACAAAAAATTTACCTTCAAATCCTCTAAAATTTATTCAATCACTCTCACATAATTCATTCAAGTGAACAAAGCCTAAGAGTCATCAAGTCACTGAGAGCATAAACTTGGTCAGCACTAACAAACCCATAGTCAAGGGTCTAATCATAAGAAACATGGCCGAACGAATCCAACAAAAGTCCACTGAGGTCAAACTCTTCTTCTCTTAGACCATCATGGAGTAGAATAATTTTAAACTCTGTATTATGGACTTAGCAGTGTAAGATTTATTTTTAGAATCATGTATTTTGAGTCAAATAAAATAGGATTTTTGATCACTTAAGTCAACAAAGACTAAGACCCAATGTTTTGAGTGGACGTCTAAAAGCTTGTTTGACCTAAGTGGACATCAAGTGTGTGGTGCTTTCCACCTTTATGTGAATAACCATGTGTCATGAAGATTTTTCATAGTTAGTGGTCTCATGTCTTCTTCCTAATGAAGAAGATTTTTATCACATGTCTTCCTCTTAAAAGAGAGGATTTTTACCTTTTCTAAGATAATTAAGTTTGAGTTTTTAGATTTTCCTTGTACATATTACATATTAGAGACACTCTTGATCTATAAATAAATGTGTTTTCTACTCTTATAATGTTATGTTATCATTTTTGTATCATATTACTTATTTTGGTCACTCAAGGTTAAAGCATCCAAAAATGATCTTCATTAGTTACCTTACTCATTAATTGACCTAATCTTTCTTTATAAATATCTTCCAAATATAACAAAAAGAAACTTAATTATAAATATCTTCCAAATATTTTGAATTACTTTTCATTTGTATTTGACTTTTCGATCGTTTTTTATTTAATTTAAAATATAATATTTACATATCTAAACATTATTAATTTATCGAAAGTTATAATTATATAAAATAAACATTCATCATTTACATGTTTTATATGGGAGAATATTTTGTTATAATTTTATAGGCTTTTATCTGGACTAATATACATATTAAAAATGATTGAAAGCTAAGCAAAGTTTTTTCCTTTTACTTCCAAGTAAAGTTCCATAATATTCTATAAATAAAATCTATCATCTCGTTTAAACAGGTCTTTGCTATTAAAAACCAGTTTAATACTTTGTAGCTCTCATTTCCTGTGGGTATCATGATTTGACGAAATAGGGAGTGGTATTTCCATTAGACCCATTAAAGATATTGAGCAACAGCATTCAATTCCTTCTTCTCCTTTCCATATTCAGGCCAAGAAGACCCTTAACAGCATGACTATTATTTTCTATATTCTGCACCTAAAATATCCTCAGCCAGATTGAGGTCTTCCAGAACCTTTTTCTTCATCATTACTTACAACCTTAATTCCGTCCTGCGTCAATGTTCTGACATTTGTAGTACAATGGCTTAATGTGTTGTTTCCTCAGTTTATGCCCTTTTCTTCATCTAATCTATGTTCTCCTTCTTAAGCTGTGCAGTGCCTTTGATGAAACATACAAGTACTAGTCCCGAATAAAACGTGTAATCAATCAGTAGACGTTGATTAAGTAATTAGTTTGTGCACAACTCTGACAAAGGAAAAGAACCAACTGTGCTACAGAAACTCAAAGCTAGAGATCGTAGATTTGTCTTATTAATAGAATGTGCAGCTTTCTGAACAGAACCATCCCTTACAACATTGGCTTCAATACAAGAATTTCAACACATGATGGTAAGACACTCGCTTCTGCATTCCAACTCCACCAATTCAAGCACCTGCTGTAGCCATAGCTCCTTGATGAGAATGAGGCGGCAAACACTGTGCTTCATTGTTACCATCTTCCTCTTCCTCTGCGTCCCAAAGGAAACTAGCATATGCTGCATGTACATGGCTGTTATCATAAAAAAAAAAATAACTTCTTTTGTCAGAATGCATTTCAAACCATTATAAAGCTCTATGAAATAACATAGCATTCTACATGTTCTGCACAGCAGCACATACCTGTCTTCAGGAGAGGCTTGGACTGCTCTTTCAAAATAGCTGGAGGCACGTTCTTGGTCATGGTGTACCTCCCAAACCAGCTTCCCATACTGTGATAGAACATCTCCATCATTTGGGTCTGCCAGTATGGCACGAGAATAGTACTCCTCTGCTCCTTCGCGATCCTGTTTGCACTGTAAAAAGACAAAAATCATCATCACCAAAACACCTACTAACAAGACCAAGTTTTGGTGTTTTTCCTAACACTAGATTTTCACTTCCAAGTAACCAAATCCTCTGAAAGAAGTTGCAAAAGTAGCTTATTATGACCCGACAAATTGGTTATCATGAGGAGTGTTCAAACACGTGAAAGTCTTAGATATAGTTTGTTTAGATGTGATTTGTATTTAAGGTTTTCCCCTTTGAAAATTGAAGATTTTGTTTTGAAAACTCAGGGAAACAGAACTCACCTGATACAAAAAATTAGCATAATTCCTGAGAAACAAAGGATCCCCTGGATTTTCTTTCACCATTTTCTTGTAATACTCCTCCACATCATGCCTATCTCCATCATTCCCTCCAGAACCCAAAGGATTGTGATCACTACTACCTCCACCACCCCCTATGCAGCCACCTATGCCATCCCCACAGCACTCTACGCCAAGCCCCTTTGCAAGATACATTTCTTTACCACTACCAACCTCTTCCTGCTCACCAAAACTCACTCTGCAAACTCCATCTTTCGCTTTCCAAGCTTCACTCAATATCACACCATTCACCACACTCAACCCCTCTACCCCCTTCTCCTCCCCTTCTTCACTCTCACTTTCCATTTCTTCATCTTCCTCTTCTAGACGCAAGCCGCTGTGCTTACCAAGCGAGAAAGAAGGAATTGTCTCCAGCATCAAGCACCTGTTCCTCGTTGGAAACCTCTTGGAAGGGTCTGAAAATTCCAAAATGTCTTCGTTGTTGCAGGAGTAGGCTAAGTCTTGCAAGTTCCCATCAGATTGAACTCTTCTAAAGCCTTTGTTTTTCCTTTCAAGCTCACCAATTGAGGGAGAGATTGGGGAAGAACCACATGAGAAGGAAGGGAGAGTGAAGGACCCAGTTTGGGGGACATGAAGTTTGTGATAATGTTGCGGAACGCCGGTTGGTGGAAAGTGCTTGATTGCATGGCTGGTTTCTGAGTGAATACTGTTGTTAGGACTATCTGTGAAGTTGGAAAGGAGGGATCCAAGAACTGGCGTTGAAGAGCTTCTTAGCAGCATGTTTTCTGATTCAAGATAACTTCTGTGTGGCTGTCGCTAGCCTTTTGGGTACAAATCATGGACAAAATACAACAAAACTGCAAATTACTTCTTCAGGAAAACCAAAACAATAAACTAGAGAAGAGAAAGGCATAAAGCATGTCATTTTTTCAAACAGAAAACAAATTGGCATGGATACAAGGAAATGTAATAACACTAATTGCTCATTCGATAACACAAAAAAACTAATGTTTCGGTTGGAAAAGGAAGAGAAAGAGAAGAAAAGAAAAATACCCTTTTGAGACGATGTAGAGTCCTTGATGCACTATAATCTATGCAAGAAGGAAAGATTTTTTGTAGCAGCACACAACATATAAAAACATTTAAATGTACAAAAGCAGGATCCTTTATATATAAAGGAGAAGACTTTGCCGGTGGGGTGCATGTGAACATGAGTGGTTTAACCTTCTCTGTCAAATATTATAATAAGAAAAAAGATTAATTTTTCACCCTAAAAAAGCAAATTCATTTGGGTGGTGAATGTGTGGTAGATGTAGCATTTGGAAAAATATCAACTTGTGAAGAGTAGTTGGATGACAGTGCATATGGAAATTGAAAAGTACTCGGAAAAGGGCAACATTGTTTCCATTGCAGTAATTAAAATGAAAAACATTTTCATAATTATTATTAGAAAAAGATGAAAAAGAAAAATATGCATTATTGAAGAAAGTACTGGCATACCAACCTTTCACATGGAGGGCACGACCCTCCGAGCAGCAAGGATAATAATTATTGTTTGGCACACCAAAATCTTAATGCAACTTTGTTTCACGTTTGTATTGACAGAAACAAACGCTTCTTCTCCGTACACGTGCCTCATCACGCGCTTATTTGACTGTTCTACAGTTCTTGTACACAACTTGTGAACGATCTTCGAAGATATTCCATCGGGAGATTCTTGCAACGCAATTCAATTGTAGAAACAAAATCAAAACGTGATTCCTCGTGTTTCTGGAACTGCTGTTCCGCTGTACATCCTCTTATGTTAACAAGTTTTCTATTTCTTTTGTCGTTTTTAATGTTTACTCCTCCTCCACTCAACTTATATTTCACGTTCCTTTCTTTCTTCCAACTCATGAAAGATAATCAACAAATAAAACCAAACAAAAAAATGTGACAATTGAGGATCCACAAAATTAAAAAACATGCAAAAAAAAAAACTAAACAAATTTTACAATATAAGCTTTTCACATAATATTTAACACTATTTAGGAAGATATTAGTATGCAAATAAGATACAGTCGATTTATATCTTTTATAAAAGTATTATTTTTTAAGCTAATTGACTATCATTAATATTTACGTTTTTCTATTGTAATAAAATAAGTAATTAAAACAATAAATTATTCTAAAAATATCTTTTAATTATATTAACATATAAATTTTCTCTCTCATAATCGAATAATTTATAATTTATTTATTTATTTTATATAAATACGATCTTGACATTTATATTTTTATTTTTGTAGAATGTGTGGTTTAAAGTTTATATATATATATATTAAAAAAAATTAGTGTCGATAAATAAGTTAATTTAGTTTAATTTATAAAAATAAATACAAATGATTTAGTGTTTTAGTTTCATATATTTATTTAATATTTTTATGATAGAAATAATTTATCTATATTTTGTAGAGTGTAGTTTTTTTCATAAGTTTAGTGTGTTTTTCATATTTCGTATTCTTTTATTTTATTTTTTATTTTTAATAAATTTTGATGTGATGAGAAATTATTAATGAAATTTAAATTTAAATGTCAATTCTTTTTTAATATCTAATATTAATGCATAATAACTTTATTTGAAACTTATTTATTTATTTATAATTCAAATCACCTAACTTTTCATAATTTATATTTATATTTTTTTCATATCATCAAACATATTTATCACTAATTTAAATGACTCTTTTTTTTTATATCTATGAAAAATAAAACTAGTAAATTGAGACATCTAAGACACTATAACAAAATTTACCTTTAAATATGTCTTAAACCCTATAAATTTAAAAATAAAAACTAAAAAATATAAAATAAGAAAATTGATAATCTTTACATATAAGACTAAGTGAGCAATTAAAGAAATAATTTTATACTTATACCTGATTAAATATCATTATTGATATAATTTTTAAATTAATCATTCTAAATTTGATATATACGTGCTAATCTGCAATTGATTACAATGTAAAACTATTTTATTCTGGATACGTAACCTATATTTTTATCTTTGTGTGTTTTCTCTCTTGTTATAATAAAAAAGTTGATTAAATTTAAATTAGAAATACTCTCTCTCTGAAGATTTTTATCAGCCGACACCTAACAGTGTAAACCCTAAACCTCTTCTAATTAGAATTGAGGTCACAAATTCATCAATTCATTTATACACATTGATTTCAAATATATATTATAATGATAACAAATCTCCTAAGTTTTTTAAGTTACAAATAATATATTTTCTAACAATATTGAATGATCGAAAATTTGATAATCTTATAAAGAAATATGGTTTTAAATATAAAAAAAAAATAAGTATAATCATATATGAGAAGACAAAAGAGTTGCAGTTTCAAATAAAAGGAGAAATGAAAGTGGAGCAGTTAGACTTGTGTAAAGATTAACATTTTGTTTCTATATAAAATTTGAATTTGTTATTGGAAAAAGTTATGTACTTTTGATAAATGATGGCTTCTAACAAATACTTATAATTTATAAATAAAGAAATACCAATACAAATTACTATGCAAAATTAGGTTAGAACACAAAGTCAATATGAGGATGCTTAATAATCACAATGAGATTGTTAACTACTACTTTTAGAAATTTGACATGACAATTTTCTCTATCTCGAAACCTTGATTTTTTTAATTTATACTATAATTTTTATTATAATAATGAAAAAAAAAGAAAAAAAGTAATCTAATAACAATTATGTGGTTGGAAAATAATATTATGAACACGTTATAAAAATATCTATGACAATGTCATTCCATCTTGAAATATTGACATCACACAAAAGTTGATGAATCGAATTTTGAATTTAATGTTTTATTTGGACTAGGAGTGAAATAAAGAGGAATCAGCTAATAAGAGAGAAAATAATATAAATGATATAAGTAAATAAATAATCACTGAAAAATATGTTTTATTTGGATGAATAAAAATAACAAGTCAACAGAAGAGAAAAAAACATATAAGTTTTTATATAAATTAAAAATATTATTTGTTAACGTAAAACTATTTATTTATTTTACCCCATTATTTAAATGTCTTATTATGTGAAATATATATTAAATTTAGCATTTGGGTGTGTTAGACTAGTAATGCATTGAATAGTTTTTCCTCTGTATATTTGTAATGGCTCAAATGCGATGAATTTCATTTCGTGGAAAATTTTGTATTCTCTCTCTCTCTAAGTTAAAACGATATATTTAACTAAAAATATAATTGAACTTGTATGTTTCTGTTCTTGTATTAACTTTTGTATACCTTCAAAAATAAAATAAAATAAATAATTTGATACATAATTCATTTAAGAATGTATAAATACCTTTAAATGGTTAAGAAAGTTTGCTAGATCCCAAACAAGTTTATCCAAATAATAAATGAAAGTGGGTTTAAAATATTAAATTCGAATACAAATTTGCCTTGTATTTTCTAATATGGAATCAAGAATGTTAAAATTGTTATGACCTGACCTATATCAACATGGAAAATTATGCACTATTTTTATTTTCTAAACTAAAGATGTTTATAGATTGAATATATATAATAAACCTAATTTCTTGCATATATTTGATAAAATATTGTTTAGAAATATTCTTTTTCTTTTACGATTTCATAATTTATATATTACTGATAACTAATTAAAAGCTTCTCAATAACATTTGATGATGAAAATATCATTAATATTAAAATCTCTAACTCAGGTTATAGTAATTTTATTTTAGAGAATGATAGAATATATATATATATATATATATATATATATATATATATATATATATATATATAAAGCAATTCCAAAATCAAAACATTCACATTCCATTCCATTCAAGATTCTAAAACTATTTATATTAAATATGGTTAAGGAAGTTATGTTCCAATATTTTACAAATAAATCAACCATTCAAAATGCTATTCCAATTCTCAAGGATAATAAAGAATTAAAAACTTCCACAATTTTGCATATATTTATATTTAATATACACAAAGTCAAATCATCACAGAAAAACGTAAACTAGAATTTGGAAAAGAATTAACTTATCTTCATCCTTAAGATAATTAATTAATAAGATGAGTAAAAGATATCGAAAAATCTTCTAAAATATTTATAAGAAGTCAAACATAACAAACAAATTATATTTTAAAAGGAAAAATTTACAAAAAAAAAAAAAACTTAAAAATCTAAGCTCAAAGAAAAAAGAAGACTTAAAATATAAGGAAAATATCATATAAACTTTTGGATGATTATATTTAAAATATAGAATATATATATATAATTTTTACTTTATATATATATATATATATATATATATATATATGTATATATATAAAGTAAAAAGATAGACATGTACTATGAAATGCAATACTATATAAAAAGTCTAATTGTCATTTAAAAAGATAGACATGTACTATGAAATGCAATACTATATAAAAAGTCTAATTGTCATTTAAGTGACTATTTATTGAAAAATAAAATGTTAAAGGACTTTTTATCATTATATATTTTTTAACATATTGAAAAAGGGAAAATAAAATGGAGTATTAGAATCGACAAATGTTTTAAAATAATGACATCGAACATTTTCATGTTTAAATAATTTAATAATATAAATAAAATTTTATAAATATGTCTTGTTACTTAAAATATATATAATTTATTTAGAACTCAATTTGTAAATTTCTTTTCTCTTGTATACGAACCTTCTAACTCTTAAGTCATCTCTTTGACAATCCGAAAGTACCTAAGAGATCACAACGACGATATCTAAGAGTTCATCCGATTAGTCTTCCAAAAAGAGTAAGTTAGTTTTTATTTCTTTCCTAATTTGAGTTCCTTCTTGTACGTGAGAAAAATTTCTCATCGCATGTAAAATTTTAGAGATTTTGTTTGTTCTTCGAGGATCATTGATCCTAATGATCTGTTTGAATCAAATTTCGCGATTTATAGGTATTTATAGAATTTTTTGAGTTGAGGTGAGGAAGTAGCTCTTTATAGTCGTCTAAGCTTTCCCAAAAAGGTAAGGAAAGTTAAAATTGTCTTTGATTTCTTGTCTAGAAGATTCTAAAGGTAGGTCATGATTGATGTGTAATAAAATTGTGTTTAATTGATGAGTTATTATGAGGTGAACTAATTTTGTTATTGACTATTGAC